TATGATAACTGAAAAATACAAAGCCTCTTCATATCAACAAAGGAGAGTCTCACAAATGTAACAGTTTTGGAAAACATTTTGGTGGGTACGCGTTTCTACGCTTACTTTTTTAAATCTCCTCAGAACTGTTCCTTTTCCAAAATGAAGTAGGAAGGTTAAGCAGTTGGAGGATTATTATTTTTTTTACTATAATCCTAAACCAAGCAGAATCAAAAACAGTGCTTTTGATTGTTATAATTAATGGTGAAAAAACAAACATGAACAATAATGTTGTGCTATTACTCAACAGTTGACGTACTGTCAGAGACTGAAGGCTGGAAGACAAGAGGAAAAAGATGTTCTTTGTGGATAGCCCAATCAAAATATATTCAGTTACTTTATCTACCACATGATGTTCAGCAATGGGAAGCCAATACCAAAGTATATTACCTCCATTTTCAAAGGACCGGCTACCTGTTCTGGGAATGCTCTCTGTTGGTGCTCTCCTTCCTGATCCCTCTCCTTCTCTTTTTGAATTATTGAATTTTGCAGGAATTGTATTACCGTGCCCTGGAAAGGCAACAGAAAGCACGGTTCAGCTGCTTGTGGGTAAGCACAGGGAATGGCACTGCCATTCTCTTCCTCCCACCTCTATGAGCTTGTGATTGGTTGAGGGCAATTTCCTTTAACCTCTAGTTTTGCGTTCTTTTTTATTAGCACAATGTCCTGCTCAAATCTGTTTTCATAAAACAGTGTTATGAAGATTTTATTCCTGAAATTTACACTACTGTGAAAATAGACAATATTTAGTTTCTGTTAAAAGTAGCAGGTCATATTTCTGCCCCACAATTTTTGATGACTGATCTACTGATTACTTTGGTGTCTTGTTATTGTAAGAGCATCTCTCTCTCTCCTAAAATGGAATTAGAGTCTTACTTACTCAGTAAAAAAACTAATGCAGATTTTTCTCAGTTATGGCACTTGGACAAGAATGAAGGAAGGAGAAAGATAATAAGGGAGGAAAATACTGATTGCTTTGTATTCCTTGGAGCTTAGTTATGTTGGGTAAAGTCCAACGTTCAAACCAATAAACAGCCCCATAAGAGTGCCCATCTCTCTCCGCTTACAGCAGAAAGCCTAGATGAGAAATTTAAGCTACATTCCAAACCTTAGGATGCTTAAAATTAGACCACATCAATCTGGATCGTGAAGAAAAATTGTATGGAAGACCTGTGTTGCGTGCTCAGGAAAGTACACATAGCGTTAATAGCCCATTTCTGCCTTTTCCATCTACGGTGGATGCCTGTAGTCACCACCTGTGTGACACGATATATGTAGAGATGGGGGAAACTTCATGAAGTATTTTTATGCTCTTTTTAATACACTCTACTTTATTGTCACCAAATTTAAAACGTGGAAAGGAGGGGCAAACTAAGCCATAATCTCTCCCTGGAACATTATTTGTAAAAGTGGTAAACATGGTCCAAGAAGACAAAAAGCACTTGCCTTTCTGCAAGTCTCGCTCGGTAGCTTCCAAGGGTAATAGCTCCTTTTCCCAAGGCGAAGGCACAGGTTTTGTTGACTGGTGTTCATGAGGGTACTGAATCCTGTAACACTCTCCTAAAAATACCCCAAGAAGGACAAAAACCCCCAAAGTTTACTATACTGGCAGCACTGCTGTTTAGGAAA